TTTCACATACCCTCCTCTAATCTACAATCACTCTCTCTAGGTTCTTCTCATAGGTTGGTGGATCATGATAATCTCTCTTGACATTTCTATCACCTTCTTTTTAAACTTTTTCCTGAAGTTTGACATTTTTTCCAGTTGCATCTTTAGTACTTAACTCTTCTCTTCTGTGAAGCATATAATTTATCATCTATAAATAGCCTCAATCAGATAGCCACTTAAAAATAATAAGCTTCCAGCAGCTTTTCCATCCAGTTATCTTCAGCTTCCTCCCTTCAGGTTTTTTTCTATCGCTGCATTAACAGACAAGTTGTGTTTTCTCTTTGCCTTAGATTCACAGCTCAGAGGAGAAAAAACTCACCTCCTCACAGATCTTAAAGATTTCTATCCTGTTTGCTAGCCTGCATCACTTTTACTCTTGAGCTTTTGTTGAGGTCAGTCCAGCCCATCTAACTGTCATTTAGCAGTTAACTGTCCATCAGCCCAGATCAAAGGCAGGGAGTATATATACAGTATCTGATGCAAAATATCTGAACAAACATCTTCTCCTTCAAAAAGGACAAAACAGTCAAATAACAAAGAAAAACGTTCTCTTAATGGCAAAAAATAAAGTTTTGCTTTTTCTTCATTCAGTAGTTTCCTACAAAGTCTCCCGCGTAACTCACTCTGTCTTCTGGCCTTCATTGCGCATAAAAAGCCCTGCCAGTTTTTACCAGGCAACTCAAGGCTTCCAGATCTTATGTGTCAACAATTAAAATACTCATTCTTATAAAGGAGAATTCCTTTACATTAAATACTAGAATCATGGATTCATCATATGTCCACCAATAAAATCCATAGCAAATCTTTTCAGCCTATATTAAAACACTCATTTTGCAGATGTCCTTCTCTCCTAATGCCTGGAAGAAGAGCTAGAACTTGTTGGCCATCTCCACAATTACCTTCCTACACTTTGAGCTCTGTGTTAGCATAAGGATTAAACTTCAAAAAGTACCATCATGCAGTTAAAGTGCATAGTTAAAGTGTGTCTGGAGATGTCATCAAATAGACACATAGAAGCACCACTCTTTAGTCTTAGAAAACTTTTCCATAGCATAGTGGCGAATAACCTATCACCATAATTACAAGATAATCGTGCATCCCACTGTTTTGTATTTCATTCAACTTGATGTGAACAAATAAACCGGAAAAGTAACATATGGAGAGAGACTAAAAATTGAATATCATATCCCTGTGCTATATCAGCAAGAGCTAAACAAAACACATCAATAACAGTCAACAGTTGTAGCCTGGGCCATCTGGTCACAAAGGCCCATATTACCAAGATTGTACTAAAATATTTTAATCTCACTTTTTTCCCTCAGGAATGAAGGATAATATGCAAAAATTAAAATTCTGCTAAAAGGTGAGATTCCTTTACCTACAAGCACAGCATGCCTATGATAGTTATTTAATTAAGAGATACCCTAATGAAGGGTGTGCAAATGGCAAGGCAATAATCTGATTCCTAAGTGGGTATGCTGGAAAGCCAGTAACAGCACAGAGAACAGCCTCTATGCACATATTTCCTTGTTAAGCCAAATACTAATTTGAATGTTTGTAATTAATTAAACAAACTGATTTTTTCACTTGTCCAGTGCAGTATCTCCTTCCTGATTCATATTACCAAACCTTAATGAATAGAGTCCTCTAAAATCCCCATGGTTTTGTTTGTGCTATTGTTTTCTAATTGTGAAATAAAATGTAATTAATTATTCTCCCCCTGCTCTCCTATTTTTGCACATCTGCCCTGCTCCCAACTAAGTGCTAATAAGCAGTTCAACTGTTGGTAGCTGCTGCAATCACTTCCAAACAACCTTGTGCATTTCCAAGCAACATAGCATGGGTTGGAAAGCAAGAGGCAGTCAGGACAGATGAACAAATGACACTTGTAATTTGCTAAAGCAGGTGAAAGAAAGGGAAAATAACACACTCAGGGTGCAACTGGAAACCTAACTTTTATGCGGACATCCAAACTGGACCACATGATAGTATCAAACAGAACTAGTCATATCTGAAATTATCACTATCCTATATTTCATTCAGTCATGAAAGCTTCACATTCCTGATGAGCAGAAAATGAAACACTGCAGTAACAGAGACAAAAGCAAAACAAAAGTTGGAATAATTTTTTCACACAGGAAAATGTGTGGTTATTCCACACACATACACACACCCCACCCCACCCCCCGCCCATTATTGTACTGGAATTCCTTGGTCCTAAATGATTTTATTGCTATGTCTGAATAAAATATAAACTACCATACAGTTCAATCTCACAGAGATTTGACCAGAAATGCCCATGACAGGGATGCTCAGAAGGACACTGCTTATGGTGCTACGCAGACAGGGTGAGTCCTTGCAAGCCCCTGCGGTATGAGACAAACTGCTGCTCCCACTGCAGCAAACCTACACAAGTCCTCAGCTCTGATTGCTGACAGCTACGTGACAAAGGTTTGATCCAGAACCTGTTTTCCTTCCTTCCTCCTTCTCATTTTAAAAATTCTATTATAAACATCCAAATTATCCATTCTCAGTACGTTTTCTCTCTTCCCCAAAACATTGTAGAAACCACAGCTACTAAATACATCTACAATGTCCCTTGACAGTGATTACAACAAACCAGAGACAGCAAAGTTTAAGTTCAAGAGAAATTCATATACATCAGAAGCTGTAATTCATCAATCCATGTAGTGCCCTGTTGGGGCTTCTGAAGGTAAGCCCCAAAATATTGTGGAAGAGAAAATAAATGTTTCTCATGCCCCACAGAAGTGGGCAACTAAATGAATTTTTGCAAATTCACGAAGCTACACACAGTTCACAACAAACATCTAAAGTTAAATGAGACAGATGATCAACTTTTTCTACAGTTTGTGCAGGATCTGAAACAAATGCATGAACTGGGTGTCTAAGGCTCTCTAGATTAGTACTGACTATCCTATTTCTGAAGATTTCATGGCTTACCTTATGAAGATCTGTGATGTCAAAAAAACCCTAAAAGAATTGCTTTTATTTTCAGCACTGAATCCTACTGAATTTTTTAGTTAGGGAACAATAGACTCTCTTCCCTAGGATCAGTATATCTGAAGCTCCAAATCTTTTTATTTATGCTTTGTTAAGCATTATGTTGCAAATCACTGCCATTGACCTAGAATATTTAATTCCATTATTTTAAATATCTCTAAAATTTTTGTCTCACCTGACACACATACACCGTACTTCTACTTCAATAGACTATAGCCAAAATACTCATGTCTAGATACCTAAATTAGAAATATACTGAAAAAAAATATATTTAAAGACTTTTAAAACCAATGACAGCTCAAAGTATTTCAAGGTGCTAATCATTTGCAGCTCCTGTAATTTAAACATTAGTTGAGGTTAGGTATCTTAGTGCCTTTGAAAAACAGACTGCCAGATGCTTTTACACTTCTGTGTTTGTATACCATCTAATGCACTTGTGATCCCTGACTAGCATTTCAGGAACAATAACAAATCAAGATGACAAGATGCTAGGAAAACATTCAAGTACAAATAGGACCCAGTTCATCTCATTCTGCTTAAAGAGCCTCAGTTACCAGGATGAGCACCTTAGACTCCCAAATAAAAGTACTTAATGAATGCACTTCTAGAGAGCAACTCAGGCCACCTCAGATCCAAAAATTCAGTGTTCACAAGCAGTAGGAGTGGAAGGCGGCAGGGAGAAGTAAATCAACAACAACAAAACAGAAAGACTATAGATCTGTGTATAAGTAACTTTCCTAATTCTCTTACTGCTTTAAAATTGCATAACAGAAGTCTTAAAAATAACTATTTATCACTTGCATATTAACCACCAAAATTTACTTTAGTTATTGATCGTTAATTCTCAAACACTGAAATGTGAAGGGAAAAGTTCAGAAATGGCTTTAGAAAGTTTAGGACACATTAAAAAAATACTTCACAAATATAGAAAAACTTATGGAAATTTATGAGATCAGTATAAATTATTGATGGGGAAAGGGGAGAAAATGAAATCTCCAGAGATTATTATTTCTTTTTACTGATAGGAAAAAAACCTTTCCTAATTATTAAAGTAACTGATTAGGTACCAGCTGGCTAAATTACACATTGATTGTAGAGGAAAATTCTGCCCTTGAGCTGTGTATTTAGCTCCAGTGATCATAGCGGTGGGAATCACGAATACAGTCCACAGCTGTATTGGTCATTAACACACCTACTAAAGTCAGAGCGATGTATAGGAGTCCCTGTTTCAAAACTGCCAATATGCAAAATATATTCATGTAATTACAACTTCTAATGCCTAAATGGCCATTTGAACAATTATTGGTATTTTAGTTTTAATTATTTTGTATATAAAATCTGTATATCTGAAGTTCTGGAAAAGCAGCCATTAGAAACCTCGTCTATCCGGTTGCCTGCAGACACAAGAAAAAACTTTCGACTTTTGTCAGACCTTTGCAAACAACAAAAAATAAAACTGAAAACATCTGCAAAGACTTATTTTGTCTTTGGATGCTAGAAATTGACTAAGGAATGAACAAAATATGTTTTTACGTGTAATATCTTATGAATTCCTTCTAGGTCTTGAGAATAGAAACAAGATAACCTACACTACGCAGCAGGACAGTTTTCATAACATTCCTGGCCTAGATTTCAGCCCCAGTCTAACACACAGGTACACAGGTAAGCAGCAACCTCTACTGAAGAAAAAGCTGCATGAAAACATGTGTCTCTGATTAATGCTTTTTACAAGAATGTATACTGTTAAAGTCTGCCATGAATATAAAGCCATTTTCATCTGTCTATACAATATAGACAGAAGAACAATCTTCTCTGTTCAGTCTTACGTTTCTTAAATTTTTCTGGGATATTGCTACCAACATGATAGGCATTACAAAATTTTAAGAGAAATAGATCAATTATTTGCTATCAAAATTTGATTCAGCTCTTTGTTGACTTACCTTGCCAACAGATCTGGGGAACGGTGGTCTTTGATTTTCAGGAATTAATATCGGAGTTGCCAAAATAGCCCTTTTTTGTCTTGGAATTCCAAGGTTGCCTTCTATCTTAAAGATTTCCTAAAAAAGAAAAAGATCAGTTACAAAATAATATTCAGTTGTTATTTCCATTCCCTGCATCTTTAGGCAAAATTAACATGAACTACCAGATTCTAAGTTTTGTCTTACATGTTTTCCAGCAACTAGTGATAACATATCAACTAGTTATTTAAATTTGTCAGGTTACCGTACTTATTACAGTGACAGTAGACAGGCCATATTTATTTTGTATTCCTGTAGACTAGTTTTAAATCTAAGCAAGTGTGTCTACCATCCTAACCTGATGACTCCTTAAATCATAAATCTTAAACAAGGTCTGGCTTACCTCAAATACTTGTATGATATCTGTAAAAAGCTACGCTTTAAATGTCTTACATAATTTTCACATCTCAAGCTGCATCTGTACTCAGCTGCTTCTCAGTCCAGGCTTTTAATCAAACAGAACTTACAGGTGAATTTGCTGACTGTCCCCAGCTAATGAACCCTCAATAAACACCAAAACTTGTAACTTAAAAATAAAAATAGACACCAATACCCAGGTGTATTCTAGGTCTTGTAACCAAGACCTAGAATATCCGCTAGTAGGGTTTGGGGTTTTTTTTTTTTTTTTTGAGTTGGGTGTTTTGGCCTGTTGTGTTTTGGTTTTTTTTCTTGTCCTTAGAGAAAACTTCATGCTACAATATCAGAAAGAGCAAAAGTAGAAGGGCTTTATACACAAGTCTTCCTTTTTCAGCTGCATTTTTTGGTGTATATAGTTATAGCTGAGCTTCAGGCGATTCAGCACTTTATGAGCTACAGCAAACTTCACAGTGGCCTCTGGCCCCTAGAAAACTCTGTCCATCACACCTTTGCCTTCCCTCCCCTTCTGCTCTCTGATCCTCTCAGTGCTCTCTCTGCATGAGCTGTAGTTTCCCAGAGACCATCCTCTTCCTTTTGTTTCCTCCTACGGTCTCTACAACTCTCTTCTTCAAGCACAGTTACTACCAAGGTCAAAAACAGCCTCTCCCCATCTCCCAAAGCTCTCCCCCCCTTGAACCAGGCACCTTTTTGGGGGGTAAAAAATGCAAAAACTAAAGGGCAAAAAAAGAAGAAAACAACACAGAAATTAGTATTGTGTTGGGAATTGTGAAACTGGAAAAGATTTAGATTGCTACTATTCATTCAGGTTGTCATGACAATTTTACAAAAGAAATCGTAGGCTGAATTAAATCCTTAATTCCACTAAGGTAGTTACATCCTACAGATAATGCTTTTCTCTGCTCCCTTAAAGTAGAAACTCCAAACCCCTAAGTTTCTCAGTCAGTTCTGGAATTCGTGTTGTTTTAATAGCTGCTACTTTATTCCATAAAGAGAGCTCCATCCCTAGTCTGTATTTTTTATAAAACTGCAAAGCTGAATGAGTTTTCTTGGTGGTACAATCTGGATATCCATCAGTCAAGAACTCCACAGGCTGCTCCTGCTGCCATCTGTATAGGTTCCTCCCATCTAATGAGCCTATCATCACTAAAACATTGCTCTACGTCTAGTAGCTTTAGCATCTCTTTTCAAATTGAACAAAGAGCAGCAAGGGAAACTCAAGTCTTCCATAATTAGCTTTAATCATGATGAAGTCAAAGAGCAGTGGGAACCACGCAGAGAATCGCTTCTCACAACTTTGCCAATTTTCATAACTTTCTGAGGCTCACTGTGATATAGAATTCCCATCTCTCCCAAAGGGTTTCCCACTTCCCTCCAATCTTTAAGTCTGCAGGTCACTTGGGTCCCTATTTTTGTCTTTCAAGTCCTCTCCCAAAAGAATTTTCCTTAATAAAAATTCATGAGAAAGTTCAAGATAAAAACATTTGAAGTGTCAAATAGAAAGGAAGGAGCTGAATTCTGTCCAAAGGCAAATGCACAGAGCAGTAAGCCTTCAAAATTACTTACACTGTAAACACAGCAGACAGTTTGGCTGGCAAGTGTCTGCAGCATTTCTAAGGAGAGTGAAAGTGACTACCAGTACGACTGAAAGGAAGTGCCAGTTCTTTAGCTCAGCAGCAGTGCTCAACTGACCACAATTTCACTCGTGCTAACTCCTGCCTTCATGGTTGCCCTTCAGCTCATGAAAATGTAAGGAAGAACTCTCAGATGGAAATGAGCAAGATATTCATTCAGATTTACATCTCTTTGTTTCATAAATTCATAGAATGGTTTGGGTTGGAAGGTACCTTTAAAGGTCACCAAGTCCAACCCCCCTGCAATAAGTTTCAACTAGATCAAGTTGCTCAGAGCCCCAACCAACCTGATCTTTAGCGTTTCATGCTTCTTTCTATGCTAATCTGAGAAGCAAGAGGAATTTTCAGATTGTTCAATATCTAGATCTCCCAATTTTGGTAGTCATAGACCCATAAGCAATTAATTCATCACTCTCTCATGACAGGTTATCCCTACACTTTCCAAGAAAGTCCACAAATGGAAGAAAAAGCCAAATTATATTCAATGAGTCAACACTGCAGTCATTAATACAAAGAAGTGAAGGTTTAAAGGAAAGCAGCAGGGTGGTAAGACCTATGGCCTTCAAGTCCAGATTTCCAAGCAGCACTTTGGAACAAGAAAAAAGGAAAAATAGTATTATTTGTTTGTTTCTGTTTCTAAGCACAATTAGTCTGTTGCATGGAGAAGAAAGCTTCTGCAGATTGGTCACAGAAATATAAGCACTTCTCTGAGTATGTTTCATGCTGTTTATTCTTCAAATCTCACTGCTGTTTTTTAAATAGTGATTTCTTCATGATGATTTCTCTCTTTCTCATCATCTCCTGGTGTCTAACAGCAACGTGACTGATTAAATGAGTAGCCAAAAGCATCACTATGGAATGCAGGTAAATAGAAAGAAAGAAAAAGGTCGAGACTACTTCACCAACGTGTTGAATATTTCAGTGCTGTTTGTGGTTATCATAATGATTTCACCGTTTGTAAAGAACAGGAAAAAAGAAAGAACATTTTGCTTAATGCCAAGCAGCTGCAACTGACAGTTTGATCCTCAATCAGTATACAAGACAGAAGCCAAGGAATCTGAAAGTATATGTGCACTTAGCACCCGATTCAAAAGTTGAAACGCTGACAAGATGCCCAATCATGGGTGAATATATTGCCTATATAATAATTTTTAGTGAAGTCACCTATCTAGTATCTTGAAGAAGCAACTTGAGGGATATGAAATTACTTCAGAATGAGTCGGCAATTTTGCTTCAACATTTCTTACAATATCAGGCTAGCATTGTAACAGGGGTCTCCTTTTGTCCTGTGACACAAGTGAAACCCACAAAGGAGTCTTCTGTGATCTTTGCTGGAACCAGTTTCTCAAAAACTATAGTACCTACCATGTCTTTGTAGCAGCCATGACTCCAGACAAGTATTTATGTGCCAGGAGTCTGGAGCTGGCAGTCTAGAGAGCTTAGAACAGCGTGTCCCAGATGAGTGGTGTTCAACCAGCACCCAGAGAGCCAATGGCTATGATTACCATCTGTTCCTTCCACACCTACTGCTTTGTACAACAAACAGAAACCTAAGGTGTGTGTCCAGAAACATCCACAAACAAAATTTAAACTATAATGCCTCCCTAAGAAAAGTGCACCAAAAAGAAAAATTCTGGGTTTCTGATTATTTTTTTAAAAAAACCAAAATTGTAAGAGAGAAATCCTACCAGGTTCTTTATTTTTACTATTTAACTGCAATAACACATCTGTGATCACTATCTTTCAGCTGCCATTTTCATGGACAGTGGATTATCTGATCAGAATCCAACTATCATTTCACTGTCCACCATTTCATAACCAGCATTTACATCCTATTTTTGACTTCATTAAATTCCCTTTCTGGACATGGAATCGGTACAGCAATAGATCAGCACCCAATATGCTGATTCACTGGCAATAAAGCTTGATTCTCTATCCACATTAAACAAGCAACAAACACAGCCTCCTCATTTTTCCAGCATTTAGGTTAGGCTTTTATTGAAAGGCGCTAGTCTACCCAAACTATGATGCTACACAAGTTGCAGTTTCCCTAGATCCCTTGAGAACTCTCCACTCTGTTTCACTTTTCTTTCTTTTTACCAGGGGTTCTTGGAAGCATTGCAATACTTGAATATTTGAATGAATGGCCTAGTCACTATCCAGTAGCAGGCACCATCACTCTTGGCAAAGAAAATTTCATTAGAACTTGTCATGGGAATAAGGTGGCTGAATACTGATATTGATTTGTCACAATAAGGGCTGAAACATTACTGGAGTGGCAATCTGTAATCCACTATGGTGACCAGAAAAGTGGTTGAGTTTCTTGCCACTTAGTTGTTTTCATATACTAAGCTTGATGGTATAAAATGGGATCAGTCTCAAAACACAAAAAATAAAATTAATTGGATGCATGTTGCAAGCAAAATTCCTCTGAAATAGCAAATGGCAAGTGGCATTCAGTGGTATATTGGTCTTCCTACAAAATAACATCATTACATAAGACTGAAAAACTAAAACTGCATGCAGATCAACTTGAGAAGAAATAATTTTTATATAATTCTCAGCTGAAATTTCACAATTGTGCTGTAATACTTAGTTGTTTTATGTATGTTATTTCTATCATCAGAACATTGTTATTATCAGCAGTATTAATAGTTAATGATTTCTAAAACATGTGCCAAAACATAAAAATATTCTCATGTTGTTAATAATATGAAAATCTAAGAAATGTGCTGGAACTTTACTTGTAAGTTAAGAACAACTGTTTAAACAAATAATTAACTCAATGAATAAAGTTAAGAATTGTAAAGGTCAATGGCATACACAGAAACATCTGCTCAAAAGTAGTCTGTCCTCAATGCCTGTAAATGTCACCCCAAAAATCACATTGTATACTTTAGAAGAACAAAGCCAGCTAAAATCTAGCATGCTAAGAGGAATCTGGTATTTCAGAGAACATGAGCTTCCAGGTTTGTGAAGCATGGTCAGATATAACACCTGAGTAATGGAAATTCATGTGGAACTTGATTT